TGCTGTGTCTCCCAGCACAATCTCAAAAGTGTGGAGGAGATGGACCATTTGATGAGGAGACCTGGACATCACTGACTGGCATCAGCAGACTACACCACAATCGCCATGTCAGCTCTTGGTGGCATCATAAAGTTTGCTACGGCATCTTCATGCTCTTTCACATCTTTCACATGTGCTCAGTGTGAACCTGAACCAAAGCAGGTGAAACTGATTCACAATGGTTTGTGCTTCCTAACTGTACAGCATGACATCCCTGACATTTATTTACTTTAGTCTGTACTGTGATGATCAAATGTTCCCTTAATGAATGAATTTTTTGTGTGTGTTTTTCTTCCCACATAACATGGATGTAGGAAGGAGACTCAACAGTGCTTAAGCCATAAAGGCTCTGTGCTTAGGATCAGGTTAGAGCCAATTAGAAATCTAAGCGGTCAGCCAATGAATAACCCTCGCCTGTGTGTTTAACTCTGCCTCGTTTAAAAAAATAGGTGAGGAAGTGCCTCGTGCCCTGTACCTGCGCTCTTTGACCGCCTCTTTCTCTCTGATGTACCGCCGCGCACACAGCGAGTGAGTCAGGCTCTGAGTGTTGCTGTGCTTTTGTCTCCACAAGCAGGAAAACAGGTAGGTGGTTGTGGCAGAACGTAAACCAGGCAAGCCTGCATCTAAACTCTGGATACGAAAGAATCACAGAAGCAGACAGACTACACTTTCACTAAAGCGGAACAAAATTATTTGACACGATCTGAGTAACAAAGTCAATTCTGGCAGTTGCATGATGAAAGTTTGTGTCCTCTGAGTTTCCCCTCTCAGCTATTCTTTCACGAGCATCGAGTCTGTGCAGTTTTGGTTTGGCAACGTTGTCTCAGGATAGATAAAAAACTGTCAAGGAAAAAGCTGAGGACGAGGAAATACTCTTCGCAATCTTTGTACTTATTTGATGAGAACTGTCAATACTGGAAACGTTGTGGTTTTTTTACATTTCAAGCTGACATCTGAAAAAAATGTTTTAGTCATTTCGCCCCACCAAAGAAATTTCTTTCTTAAAGAAAAATCATATTTGCGCTTAAAACAAGTATGTCACAAGCAGCAGTGGAAATCCCCTTTGTCAAGTAAATACTGTACATTAGTAAAATACTGTAAATGTAGATATTCTGGAAGGTTGTATCAAATATTACCAAGTGCATTTCTTTTGTTTCTAAACTCATACAGAAGTTCAAAAACAGCATTATAAATACAAATGAATTCTTTAAAGGAGTTTTGGTGTAACTTTGTGTTCCTTTTTACATTCAACAATTCAGCTTAATCCAACTGATGGGGTCTGTTTAAATCAGATGTAATAAAAAAAAAACTTGAATAAAAATAAGCGGTTCACCATTATGTTATGATATAGAAATAGAAAAATGAATGACCTAATTAAGACTTTCTGTGACACTGGCTTTTAAATTACAAATCCTGTGACAGACAGCATGGCAACATAAAATATCTATTTCAACATTTTTTAAAAATGTAATAATGCTACATGCATCGTTAACAAATAATATATCGGGTTGAAAAGAAACATACTGGTCGTAGATTCGACACAGAGATGTGCTTACAATGATTCTGGAGTGTAGGCTTATGTGCTTCCTCGTCACCTGGCTGTATGTTCTCACTTCTCAGACAAAGAAAGCACCCGAATTCAAGTTCTGAGGTCTCAGAGGAAAAGCAGAGCTAATGCTTTTTTGAGCTAGTGTTTGCTGGTGGATGATGCCGAGGAGGAGAATTGGGAGG